ATAATAATAATAATAATAATAATAATAATAATAATAATAATAATAATAATAATAATAATAATAATAATAATAATAATAATAATAATAATAATAATAATAATAATAATAATAATAATAATAATAATAATAATAATAATAATAATAATAATAATAATAATAATAATAATAATAATAATAATAATAATAATAATAATAATAATAATAATAATAATAATAATAATAATAATAATAATAATAATAATAATAATAATAATAATAATAATAATAATAATAATAATAATAATAATAATAATAATAATAATAATAATAATAATAATAATAATAATAATAATAATAATAATAATAATAATAATAATAATAATAATAATAATAATAATAATAATAATAATAATAATAATAATAATAATAATAATAATAATAATAATAATAATAATAATAATAATAATAATAATAATAATAATAATAATAATAATAATAATAATAATAATAATAATAATAATAATAATAATAATAATAATAATAATAATAATAATAATAATAATAATAATAATAATAATAATAATAATAATAATAATAATAATAATAATAATAATAATAATAATAATAATAATAATAATAATAATAATAATAATAATAATAATAATAATAATAATAATAATAATAATAATAATAATAATAATAATAATAATAATAATAATAATAATAATAATAATAATAATAATAATAATAATAATAATAATAATAATAATAATAATAATAATAATAATAATAATAATAATAATAATAATAATAATAATAATAATAATAATAATAATAATAATAATAATAATAATAATAATAATAATAATAATAATAATAATAATAATAATAATAATAATAATAATAATAATAATAATAATAATAATAATAATAATAATAATAATAATAATAATAATAATAATAATAATAATAATAATAATAATAATAATAATAATAATAATAATAATAATAATAATAATAATAATAATAATAATAATAATAATAATAATAATAATAATAATAATAATAATAATAATAATAATAATAATAATAATAATAATAATAATAATAATAATAATAATAATAATAATAATAATAATAATAATAATAATAATAATAATAATAATAATAATAATAATAATAATAATAATAATAATAATAATAATAATAATAATAATAATAATAATAATAATAATAATAATAATAATAATAATAATAATAATAATAATAATAATAATAATAATAATAATAATAATAATAATAATAATAATACTAATAATAATAATAATAATAATAATAATAATAATAATAATAATAATAATAATAATAATAATAATAATAATAATAATAATAATAATAATAATAATAATAATAATAATAATAATAATAATAATAATAATAATAATAATAATAATAATAATAATAATAATAATAATAATAATAATAATAATAATAATAATAATAATAATAATAATAATAATAATAATAATAATAATAATAATAATAATAATAATAATAATAATAATAATAATAATAATAATAATAATAATAATAATAATAATAATAATAATAATAATAATAATAATAATAATAATAATAATAATAATAATAATAATAATAATAATAATAATAATAATAATAATAATAATAATAATAATAATAATAATAATAATAATAATAATAATAATAATAATAATAATAATAATAATAATAATAATAATAATAATAATAATAATAATAATAATAATAATAATAATAATAATAATAATAATAATAATAATAATAATAATAATAATAATAATAATAATAATAATAATAATAATAATAATAATAATAATAATAATAATAATAATAATAATAATAATAATAATAATAATAATAATAATAATAATAATAATAATAATAATAATAATAATAATAATAATAATAATAATAATAATAATAATAATAATAATAATAATAATAATAATAATAATAATAATAATAATAATAATAATAATAATAATAATAATAATAATAATAATAATAATAATAATAATAATAATAATAATAATAATAATAATAATAATAATAATAATAATAATAATAATAATAATAATAATAATAATAATAATAATAATAATAATAATAATAATAATAATAATAATAATAATAATAATAATAATAATAATAATAATAATAATAATAATAATAATAATAATAATAATAATAATAATAATAATAATAATAATAATAATAATAATAATAATAATAATAATAATAATAATAATAATAATAATAATAATAATAATAATAATAATAATAATAATAATAATAATAATAATAATAATAATAATAATAATAATAATAATAATAATAATAATAATAATAATAATAATAATAATAATAATAATAATAATAATAATAATAATAATAATAATAATAATAATAATAATAATAATAATAATAATAATAATAATAATAATAATAATAATAATAATAATAATAATAATAATAATAATAATAATAATAATAATAATAATAATAATAATAATAATAATAATAATAATAATAATGATAATAATAATAATAATAATAATAATAATAATAATAATAATAATAATAATAATAATAATAATAATAATAATAATAATAATAATAATAATAATAATAATAATAATAATAATAATAATAATAATAATAATAATAATAATAATAATAATAATAATAATAATAATAATAATAATAATAATAATAATAATAATAATAATAATAATAATAATAATAATAATAATAATAATAATAATAATAATAATAATAATAATAATAATAATAATAATAATAATAATAATAATAATAATAATAATAATAATAATAATAATAATAATAATAATAATAATAATAATAATAATAATAATAATAATAATAATAATAATAATAATAATAATAATAATAATAATAATAATAATAATAATAATAATAATAATAATAATAATAATAATAATAATAATAATAATAATAATAATAATAATAATAATAATAATAATAATAATAATAATAATAATAATAATAATAATAATAATAATAATAATAATAATAATAATAATAATAATAATAATAATAATAATAATAATAATAATAATAATAATAATAATAATAATAATAATAATAATAATAATAATAATAATAATAATAATAATAATAATAATAATAATAATAATAATAATAATAATAATAATAATAATAATAATAATAATAATAATAATAATAATAATAATAATAATAATAATAATAATAATAATAATAATAATAATAATAATAATAATAATAATAATAATAATAATAATAATAATAATAATAATAATAATAATAATAATTAATAATAATAATAATAATAATAATAATAATAATAATAATAATAATAATAATAATAATAATAATTAATAATAATAATAATAATAATAATAATAATAATAATAATAATAATAATAATAATAATAATAATAATAATAATAATAATTAATAATAATAATAATAATAATTAATAATAATAATAATAATAATAATAATAATAATAATAATAATAATAATAATAATAATAATAATAATTAATAATAATAATAATAATAATAATAATGTACAAGATATTCAAAAAATTACCCTGTATAATATTTAAACTGAGAGAACTTAAAAAAAGATACAATATTAGGTAATCAGTGGTGGCTAAAACATATTTTTTTAATTTCAATTAGTTATTAAAAATCAATATGAATAATCTCGAATTTTACTAATAAAAGAGCTGAGAGCGGAGACAAAATTGCAAAAAAACTCTAACCTCATCAAATTCGTAGTGAAATTTTCTAACGTTTGAAGAAAATAACCATTTTTGTTTAAAGCACTATGTAACTCTTTACTACTGTACTAAAACACTATATGTGCTTTAAGGGAAATAATATATTAACCATAAACCTAAATTCCAAAGTTCAGAAACGTCAGGTAATTTCACTAGCGAAGGGCAATTAGTAATTTGTGTTAAATAACAAATTACCTGTGTAATGGCTAGACTCCCAGGAGCACTTTACTTTTATTTTGCCATAATATGAAAAATAATTTTCTTCCTGAATTTCTTTAGTAATGGAAGGAAAGTTTTACAACAAGCGAACATGCAATGCTTATAGTATTAGAAATTAAATAATATATTTCTCTAAATGATATATCAATTATGTTTTTATTTAACTTAGAAATAACGTAAGTAAATATTAATTACAATAAAAATCTAACAGCGAAAAATATCTAAATTATTAATAATGTGTTACGAGGTCGTGATTTGTACACTTTAAAAATAACACAGGTCTACACTGATTTTGATATTTGAAAACTCTTTGCTAATTTGTATATTTTTGGGGGCAATTATTCCAAAAAACGCCATATTTTTGCTCTATCACGTCATTTTTTTTTATAGTGGTATATATCCTAAAAAATGTATTTTATAAATATACATATCTATGACATGAATTATGTTTGTTCCATGTTAAGCATGATTTTTAAATGAATTGATTTTTATAAAATTAAATGTTATTTGGGAAAACTGGATAATATTAGATTTATCAGCAAAGCAACAGAGTTGTCGCAGAAGCGTCAATACAGCGTTGAATTTGCTTATATACAGTTTGGTTTTTGGTTGTATTAGTTGTCGTTCTACTGTATCCGCGGCTGTTGTGTTGTTGCGTATTATTTATAGTGTTCTAGAACGTATAAATATGAAAAGAAGACATTGCGTGAACAATCCAAATACCTTTTGTTATATCTGTGGTAGTTATGTCGTAGTAAATCAGAGGCAAACTATAACTTCTTTTGTAAAAAATATATACCATGCTTATTTTGGTGTAAAAATTGGCAACCAAGACAAGTCCTGGGCTCCTCATAATGTTTGTTCTGTTTGCGTTGAAGCATTAAGAAACTGGCAAAAAGGTAGGAAGAAAAGTTTAAACTTTGGTTTTCCTATGGTATGGCGAGAGCTTAGGAATCACAGTGATGATTGTTATTTTTGTTCTTGTAATGTTCAAGGATTCAACAGAAAAAATAAGAAACACATTGTGTTGTATCCCAATCTTGACTCTGCTATTCGACCAGTTCCTCATGGACCAGACGTTCCAAAACCTATCGCTTCAAAAGAAATAGAAAACGTCATATCGTCAGTATCAGAGGAATCTAATTTCACACCAGATTTCAGAGAGCCCGAAGTGTTTAACCAGAGCGAATTAAATGATTTAATTAGAGATTTGCACCTGCCAAAGGCTGCATCTGAATTGTTAGTGAAAAGCATTTACTAGCACCTGGCGTCACATCAAGCTTTTACCGGGATCACGAAAAAGAGTTATGTCAATATTTTTCTCAACAAAGACCGCTAGTGCATTGCAACAATATTCCTGACTTAGTTTCAAAATTAGGAAATGTGCTGTATGTTAAAGAAGAATGGCGCCTGTTTATTGACTCAAGTAAGCGTAGTTTAAAAGGCGTTTTATTTCACAATGGTAACGAACTGGCCTCGGTTCCCGTTGCACATTCGGTGCATTTAAAGGAAACGTATGAAAATTTAGAACTTCTTTTAAATAAAATAAACTACCAAGAACATCAGTGGATGTTTTTTGGTGACCTTAAAGTGCTGTGTATGCTACTAGGACAATAGGGGGGTTATACAAAATGTTGTTGCTTTATTTGTGAGTGGGATAGTCGGGCAAGAGATAAACATTGGACTCAAATAGAATGGTCCTCTAGAACAAGCCTTACACCTGGTAGCAAAAATTTATTAAGATATAGCTTAGTTGACCCCAAAAAAGTTTTATTGCCTCCTCTTCATATCAAACTTGGCTTGATGAAGCAGTTTGTTAAAGCCTTAGACAAAAATGGACAGTGTTTCAAATATTTGTGTGAGAAATTTCCAGCCTTATCCGATGCCAAGATTAAAGAGGGTATTTTCGTTGGGCCGCAGATAAGAACATTATGCAAATGCAAGGACTTTCAAAACACAATGACCAATGTCGAGAAGAATCTTGGGTTTAATTTAAAGAAGTAATTGATAAGTTTCTTGGGAACTCTAAGGACGAAAACTACGAAAATATTGTTCAAAATATGTTACTACACTTTCATTGTCTAGGTTGTAATATGAGTTTGAAAATGCATTTCCTGTTTTCACACTTGAACTATTTTCCTGAAAATCTTGGAGCAGTTAGCAAAGAACAGGAAGAGAGGTTTCACCAGGACATTAAGGAAATGGAACGGCGATACCAAGGCAGATGGAGCATAATGATGATGACGGACTACTGCTGGATGTTGAAACGGGATATGCCCTTAAAAATTTACAGATAAATGTCTGGACAACGCCGCTTTCTAACAAAAAGACAAAAATTTCACTCAAAAAAGTCTGAGTAAAGTTTTTATTCACTTTGTTAACTAGGTTTCCACTTTTTTACTCTAAAAAATATATATATATATATATATATATTTAGGAAATATTGTTTTTTTCTTTAATATTTGCAAAAAACCTTACGTGATACAAATAAATGCATAGAATTTTTGAAATCAGCCTACCAAAATTATATAAAATCAATTTTCAAAATAAAAACATATGTCAAAAAGTTTTATTTTGTAGACCTGTGAATCAATCACTGTCTACAAATAAAATTTTTAGATAAAAATCTTATCTGTTCAATACCTAATTTTTCAGTAAATAAATTAAATATTCCATTTAATCAAATATATTAAATACGGTCTATATAATCAAAAATAATTTATAATAAGATTTAAATATAAAAAATTTAAACACACATTTTATTTGAAACAGTTTTGCATATCTTTATTGTCAATAAAAATAATGAGAAAAATTCAAATTATGCAATTTTCCTCAAATTTATCAAATACGATTTATTTTAGGGAAATTATATTACAACCAACTTTTGGAAGTAAATAAATCATTTGCCATTACTGTTTAAGAACCTAAAGAAAGATATAAAAACCTTATAATACGTTTTAACACATCTCATGCTAAATAAAACGCTCACGATAAAATCACGTAATGAGTTTAACACTTGTTTTAGGTCATCTGCGCAGGCGCTGTAGTATTTAACGTTAATGGTATTATTAACGGTATTTTTTTTGTGTGTCATCGGCTTCAACTGCTAATAGTGGGAGAGCCCACTGCAAATTTCGACCGTCATCTGATAACGAAATAAAATATGCTTTAGAGACATGTAAAAATATTGTACTTTACCAAACGGCACCTGTGCCTATCACTATCCTGAGCAAAATAGTTAAAACAATGGCACTTCCGGTGTCATAATTAGCGAGAAATATCGTCATTTGATAACGAGATAAGACTTATGCCATCGGATAGCTATTGAATAATAGAACTTAAAAATGTACCTGTGCCTCCATTTTTCCTGAGCCAAATGCCTGGCACGGCCTATTTATTCAGCCAAAATTCTCGACAAACTTCCGTCATGTGATAACGAGTTAAAACATTATGCATTCGAATGGGCATAATGTCCTATTCAGGAATATCCGCATGTGCCACGTTTTAACCTGAGCTAAGTTGCTGGCACCGCGTAATTTTTGAGACGCGCCTCTCCCAACTAATTTATTTCATATATACAAAAAATCACATAAGCCATGACAACGAAAATTATTTGTATTGAAAATTACAATCCTAATAATTAATTTTGAACCTATTAGTGAATTCTCGATTTGTATTCCAATTTTATATACTTTTTTACAGATTTAAAAATAAGAAGAAGGTTCTCAAATCGTTGGAATGTAATTTTTTTATGTACGTTCAGCGATAATTCTATACCACGTTGTTTGATTTCCATGATTATTTTTTTGTTAGAAAGAAGGTATAGTTTGTCTAAAGTCAGTTGGAACAGTATAAAAACAACTGGTAAAAAAATTCTTTCAATTTAGCCGCATAACATAGGCGTAGGAATATTTTTTAGATTAGGTATGTAAAATAATGTTTTAATGATTTTAAAATAGAAGTATTGAATCGATTTGCATCGTTTCATAGAGGACAAAGAGAGAAAGGATGAGTATTCTAGGAGAGACGGCTGCGGCAAAGACAGGTTTGTTTTTCGCGTCTCAGTTCTTGATTCGTCTTATTATACACTGTGTTATAAATTATCCTTTCGTTCACTGATTTTCTTGATCTTCTCGCTGTTATTCTCATTTCGCACATTGGCTTATAACATCGTTTTATATCACTTTTTCTCGAGCATGTGAGAACGCTAAGTTTAATTTGGTTCATTACAGGTGAAGTAAACCTGTAGATTTAATCTTGCCAGGTCTGTATATAAAGAGGCTAATTTTCTGACCAAAGTAGAATTTTTTAAAATCACACAAAATTTCTTTTAATATAATCTAAAGTTTTTATTTACTTCACGGTTATTTTTAAAAACTAATTTAATTTTTACTATAACATCACTGGTAATTTTTAATTTTGCAAAAACTCTTCTTTTAATTTACCTACCTACTAATTTTGTTAAACCAATTATTATTGCTACTTTCAATTCACCTGCACCATGGTTCGTATATAAAACTGATTGTCCCTCAATGTTTTTAAAAATAATTGTGAATGTAGCAGAATTTTACCGAAACATATGTAGTTTTATACAAATTCATCGATTAAACCAGAAAAGTTTACTGTGTTTGAATAATATAGGTATTTACACATCAAAAACAAAACAAAAAATAAACAGAAACTGGAAAGTTAAACTAATTTCAAAAATAAATAAATAAATAAGAAATCTACACAAAAAGTAGCCCTAGTCATCATTAGAGAATTCATCGTCGGATGAACTATTGAGGTCAATTATAACTGGCTGTACAGGTGGCAGAAGAACATATTCCTGTTCTTTAAAAACTACATGTGATATGCTGTCTTTCCAAATATCACTGTGTTCATCATTAAAAAGCAACTTTATACGTTCAACAACTTGTTTGCTTAAATTCGGGGATTGATTTATCTTTCGTAATTGGCCTTTAATGTATGCCCATATTCTATCAGATTAAATATGCAATAATAGGGAGATAGGCGCAGCAGAATATGACCGTGCGTCTTAAGCCTTGGTTTCTTTGAACACTCCGTCGCGGTGAGCGGACAGTCCGTCGACCGCTGAGGACAGCAATTTTCGCCCGAGGTGGTTTGTTAAAAAATATAGAAAATGATACTTTCTCTAGGTCTGTACGTGCTGTTTATGTATTATGAATGTAAACGAAAGGTATTAAAATGGATGCAAATAAATTGTTTGCGTTGTTATTATTGTTGGAAGAGGAAGAACTGGCAACTGCAACCGTCAAAGTTTCCAATAAGCCAGTGGATGAGCTGTTTTTGTGTCGCGATACAGAAGGTGCCTTTAATATCACTGTGCAGCAGAGACTTTTTGGAAATGAAACCAAATTTAGGGAGTATTTTAGACTTTCTACAGATCTTTTTGAATTCGTGTTGAGTTTTATAAAGGACATAATTTCCAAGAAACCTAAAAATGAAGTCATGATGTCATATGTATGTGTGAATTTGTCACTCATTGTTTTAAAATTAATAATACAGTCTCCGCACACTCCGACGATTCCGCTGATATCAAACTCAACAGATATCAACCGACTCTTCGCGACAAATCAGCGGCATGACGCCGTTCTGCTCCGCCAAGCGAATTCAAAAAAACCAATCCCATTTAAATACTCTTGTTGGATAAAATCGTCAAAACGCGACGGTTGACGGACTGTCCGCTCACCGCGACGAAGTGTTCAAAGAAACCAAGGCTTTACAATGTTCATCTATATAATACTCCCTTTCAAAATTCTGTTTTTTTATAATCTCTAGTAAAACTTTGTCGGATTTTTTTGAGGAACGTTTTTCTCTTTCATAAATTCCAATATATCACTTTTTTTAGTTCTTCGGTTAGGAATTGTTCTAGTTTGACTTGAATGATAAGAGGCATTGTCCATGACGACAACGGTTTCCTTAGGAATATTAGGTGATAGCTGTACTTCAAACTATTTTTCAAATAATGGCGCCGTCATATCCTCATGGTAATCCGCACAGGAATTTTTAATTTGTTTAGCTGATAATAACAAAGCATTAGGGACAAATCCATTTACACTTCCTGCGTGCAAAATAACTATACTTTTTCCTCTAGAGAAAGGCGTTTGCAAACAACAATTTTTGGAGTCATCAACCCATCCATAATTAACGACATCATGACTATCAAACCACGTTTCATCCAGGTATACGATATGTCGATTACTATCACGAAAATTTTTAATTTTGCGCAAATAATCC